TCAACAAGCAGTATTTGTTCTTATTGAACAATTGTATAGAATTTAAAAGTCTTTTAGGAGTGCAAAGATAAATGTCATATAACTTCAGCAGAATTACTTAAATATTTGTGGTAAACACACCAACTATCCAAAGGCTTCTTGACTCTTTAAAAAATGTCTGGGCAAGTGGTTTAGGATTGGTGTATAAAAACTACTAAGATGACCTTCTCGTAAATATTCCCCAACAGATGATTTAGTTCAAGCCAACTTTGCCAATTAATCAGTTAGAAAGCGCTTTCTGTGACCTTATCGTCCCTTCTTGGGAACGAAAAACAGCAGGGGGGGCGGGGGGGGGACGAGAATAGCTTTGCACTGAAACTTCCCTCTGCGGAGTCACTCTTCCATTACTGCACTGCAAATGGCAGGAGCTGGGGAGGACTGGGATCCTTCTGCCCAGCTCCAAGGAACCACGGACTGCTTGGACCATGGCCTGGGAAGAGGACACACAGCCCACCGTTCTTCCCTTCCACGAACAGGGCCGTGAACGGTCGTGGAAGAGAGCGGTACCTTACGCCGGCTGGTGCTTCCTGGAAAGGAAGAACATGGCAGGCACCGAAACGGCCTTCCAAGAACTGCCAGAAAAGGAAAATACCCAAACAACTTTGCGACAGCTTGCTCAAGCTGCGAACAGAATTAAATACAACAGGTCAGGATGCTACTGAGCACAACAGCACAGGGAGCCCTTTACAGTTTAGTATCAGTTTTCACACATTCAAGAAAAACATAAAATTCAGGTTTTGCCTCATTTGGCCAAAAAAAAAATTAATAAAGGGCTAAAGCAAAAGGATTGCCATAGTTCACGTGCCAGAAGGAACTCAGTCCTTCTGTAAACATCTCCTTCCCCTAAAATATGGTAACTGAGTTTCCTACTTAAACCTGGATAAACAAACCTGCAAGATATGTCTAAAACACAGGATGGGAAGAAAGAAATTCATTCCAATGCTTTACACAACTAGAGAAGTGTCTTAACCTGTTATTCTTAGGAAAAAGACTAATGCTAGTAAAGTACCTTTGCTGCTTTTTGACCAAAGCCAACAGGAGAAAAAAAAAAAGAAAAAAAAAAATAGCCAAATACCCTGAAAGCTACACGAAAGAGAAATCCTCAGTATGTGCTCAACCCAGGTAAGGTCACGTATTAGTAAACGTCAGAAAAGCCAAGCACAGGAAAAGCAGCCATGAATGCCAGTAGTAGAGCACAGAAATGGGAGAATGTGGCCAACCACTAAACGCATTACAAGAACATGCTTTATTACTTCCATGGCTGATGGGACTTATTTTGACCAGCAATACCCCACAGCACAGTTTTAGGCCATCATAATTAATTAAAAGTGCAATGTACTTACAGGTCTTTCATTTGGATCAATGAAAAATATCTTAATGATTATTTCAAATTCACCCCAGCCTGTTTCAGTGATTTCATATGGTGGTTTGGTAACAACTGCAGTAGGAAACAGAGGTGTTAACACAGGTGATAAAGCCTCAGTGGAACTAATCAAAATCTGAGGTCTAGGAACAAATGCCCAAATGAAAAACCCACCTCTTAAAGGATTACCGTAGCTTTCGTGCAACTTGAATTGAATTTTTTTCACATAGGCAGACATATCCTAAAACAGAAACGTTGTTATCTCTGATTATTGACACAGCACACCAAACTACTGTTCATTCATACCTCCTACACGCCTGTCATTTCTTCTGACGTAAACACTGCCTTTCTTCTGAGTTTAAACGCAGTAAGAAAACAAGCAGGAAAACCCGGCAGTTAGTAGTGGCACACAGGTCTGTCAAGTCTTTTGTCCCCACGAACGCTCCCCAGTTTTCCCCTGGCCTGGAAAGACCACTCCAAAAATGTAAGCGTAAGATGCACTCCCTCTCATTTTTCCCTTTGGAAACCCACCAGCCTTCTGCCCCTTCCTCCCTGCCGAGAG